TACTAGATGTAATTCTTTTTCTCCACGTACATGGTCAAACTTTGTGATGTTTGACTTTTTAATAAATCTATGTGATATGGACGCAGGTGAGTACCTCAGTCGAGATAGATCAAGTGCGTGTGAAGGAGAATGAGTAAGTGTGCAAAAAGAGTATGTGTGTGAAAGAGAAAGTGACAACAAACGATAAATTAGAGAGAGAGTGTGTTTTTTCGTTTCTTATGCGAACATATCACGCATGCATCTCCGAGATGGAAATGCGAGGCGAGGAGATACATGAAGATAGCTAGTGTGTGATTGTTTGCAACGGAGAGAGACACCCCTGTAGCACATGTCCAATAGAGGTCTGGCCAACAAGGAAAAAAGGTCGAGAGGGACACATGGATGGCATGGACGCATGGGGAGGGAGAGAGGGTGTGTTTATGATAGAGAGATCCCCTCGAGATCGTGAGGGGACTATATGGGTGGGAGATCGAGGGAGTGCGTGCGCGATAGAAAGATGCACCGAGAGAAATCGAGATAGACCATGCACATGTTTGTGATGGAGACTAAGATTAGCTAGTCATATACATATACAGGGGACTGCGTGTGCCTACAATTGAGTGAGAGACCATCATACTTGGCTAGCTGGGCATGAGATTGTGTGTGTGTGTGCGTGTGTGATGGAGAGAGAACGATGGAGAGAGATAGAGTTTTAGATGGACCTATCGAGTGCGAGTGAGATATGCATGTGTATGAGGTGCCTCCAAACCTTCACAAAAACGGGGCAAATCAAAATTAGAATCCTCACTGGGACTCCTATTGCCTAGGAGTCTTCAACCTCCAAGAGTGACCAACCAAATGATGAACTAAAGGGGAACATGATGTCCTTTGGTGAGAATGTAGATCAGGCACTCCTCTTTCGTTGCACTCAAAGGATGGGTGTGTTTTATTGTATGGATTGAGATATCTTCAAGAAATAATGCTTGAGAAAGCGGAGTTTAAGAGAGAACAACTCAGCTCAAAGTGTGAGATAGAAGAGAACCCTTGGAGAAGAAAGGTGGCCCTTTTATAGCCCACACAATTTTCTATCCTTTTTGGCCATTTTCTTCAGCCCGAAACATAGTCCGAAAGCTCTGCCCAGATTTCGCACCATGTTTCCGGGGTAGGTTCTGGCAAAGGTGTGCGCTGTTGGTGGGGGTGCACAACGACGCCCGATCTGCACCGCTCCATAGTTAAAATAGATTTACCTTATAACTAAGTGTCCCTCTTAAGATTTAGTTCAATTTGAACTAATCCTCTACTTATGCGGGATGTCTGTTTCCGTCCCTAGTTGTTGGATACCCAATGCCTTTGCTGGAAGCTATCATGGAACTTACTCCGGATTGTAGACTAGCCTGGAAGTTCTGAATGAGGTTTCAAAGGGGGTACGACAATACTAGAGCTGCTAGAAGTCTCCGGCCTCTAGGTTGCCGCGAGTGGCTGACACATGTGGTCGCTGGTGAAATCCATCCAAGCGGCATGGTGCCACCCATCAGTGCAGTAGTGCAACACCTCGATCCATCCCTCGTGTATCCCTGGTTGCAACAAACTAGAGCGCGGGCTGCCCGCTGTGGAGTGTTGCGAGGAGGGGCGAACGAGAGGAGGGAGAGGCAAATTTTAGATTATTATTTTGTAGAAGCTTGTTCAAGAAGAGCAGCTATTAAATCGAATAGTCACGTTTGCGGTTAGATTAGACTATTATGTTATCTCCGACCATTAGCAATCGTTTTTGTTAAATTGACATTACCAGGTGGTTTCTGGATCATCTGCTTTTCCTATTTTCCCATCTTTTTTTCAACAAGAGGTAGGGTCCAGAAGGACCCAGACTTCCATTAGATAAGCATGCAAACACCTATTAAATCAGGACCCAATAGAAACTAAAAATAACAAAAAAATCCATTTAACTTGCATAAAGGACTTCAGACACATAAGTGAGACTACAATCGGGTCCAGAACTGCTCCTAGACGGAACCAATGTTCCCAGGAATTGTTTCAGACACATAAGTGAGGATCTGGAAGGACCCAAACTTCCATTAGATAAGCATGTAAACACCTATTAAACCAGGCTCCAACAAAACTAAAAATAACAAACAAGTCCCTCTAACTTGCAGAAAGGACTCAAGACACATAAGCGAGACTGCAATCCGGTCCGGAACTGCTCCTAGACGGAACCAATGTACCCAGGAATTGCTTTAGACACATAATTGAGACTTCCATT